CCCTCTGTGTACAGAAGAGCCTCCTGTCCTGACTGTCTGATGTATAGACTGTATTTTATATAGTATATAGTAGTTTATTTTACACTGGGGTACTGGGTTCAGTTCTGGTCTTGGGGCGCTGTCTGTGTGGAGTTTTCCTGTTCTGCCTGTGTTCCTGTGGGTTACCTCCCACAGGACATCACAGGCTGGTGTCCAGTGAGAGACTGGTGTCCTGTGTTGGACAGGTGTTCAGTGGGGGGCTGGTGTCCTGTCCAGGCTGTGCCCTGCCCTGTGCCCAGTGCCTGCTGGGATAGACTCCAGCTCCCCTGTGACCCTAGTCCTGGGTAAACCAGTTAGAGAACAGAGGTAAAGGGACAAAATGCCAACAGATGCCAGTTGACTGTTTTATGCTGTCTCACAGAAAATGATTATTTATGTTTTTAACAGGGCACATCGCTGTTCCGACTGTCCAGTCATAAGGTAACTATGTCATTTACAACAATTTCCAGTTTAACTTGTGATAAATGTCACGTTCGGCCTTCATGGTGTTCAGGTGACTTTGCCTGAAGAGCTTTGGTCTGTGAAGGTGAGGGTTACAGTAAATGACATTAATTGTGCTGAAGTGAACTTTTTAAACGTTTTCTTCAACCACACACGAAGAGCGCTTGGAGGGTCTGGTGTCCTTGGCGCTGGAAAGGTCCAGAAACATTCAGACAAGAGCGTGGTGGCCGAGCCCATCTTAGACCGCCGAATCGCGAAGAGATCAGCCCCTCCTGGGATCGTGACCGTGTCGTGGAGGAGAGGTCTGAGTGCCCAAGAGCTCTGTTTCGGGAGCTTCTGAGCTGCTGGTAGGGTTACCCTGAGCAAGCGGGTCTAGACCCCCGTGATGGTCGAATAAAACCCGAAAGAGCCACTGGGAGGAGAGCCCAGGGCAGACCCAGGACACGCTGGAGGGGTTATACCTGTCAGCTGGCCTGGGGGCACCTGGGGGTCCCCAGGAGGGGCGGGAGACTGTTGTAGAAACAGCGACACGTCTGGTACAAGTTTGATGGTATTACTATCCCTCGAAACTGTATTCTATAAATGCACACGATTCGTGATGTTGATCCCTTGGGTCTTTTGGAAGAATGTACATCTGGGTGCCGTCAGTCGAAGGTGAGAACTCTTCATATACACAGCAGTTCAGTAATCTCTGAAAAGGCTGAGACCCCCCTTACGTATTACAGAGCGAGTGATGCAGGTCACAGGCTTATAAGGCCATCAGTTAATCAGCTCACGGAAGAAATCCAGGACCCTCGTTTAATCTTTGACAACAGGAAGTGTCCTCCCTGTACAGAGAGGTGTGCTAGTATTCAGGTTCAGAACGGTACTGTCGTTTCAAACGTTGTGCTCATCGCTGG